ATCAGCAGCATCAGCATGAACATCATCATCAGCAGCAGCATCATCATCAGCATCATCGGCAGCATCAGCACCATGATCACCAACATCAGCATCGTCATCATTATCATCAGCAGCATAATCATCAGCAGCAGCATCCTCATCACCGTCATCGTCATCGCCGTCGTCATCATCATCAGCAGCAGAAGCATCAGCATCATCAGCAGCATCCTCATCACCGTCATCATCGGTATCATCATCATCACCATCATCAGCATCCTCATCATCATCATTATTAACAGCAGCAGCGACAGCATCATCAGCACCATCAGCATCGTCGTCCTCATCATCATCCTAATCAGCAGCAGCATCACCATCAGCAGGAGAAGTATCACCATCGTCATCATCCGCATCCGCATCAGCATCAGCAACACCATTGTCATCATCAGACGCATCAATACCATCATCAGAAGCAGCAGCATCGTCAGCAGCAGCAGCGGCAGCATCATGTTCCTCATCATCATCCTCATCCTCAGCACCATCTTCATCAACAACGCCACCAACACTACCATCATTCACCTCCTCCTCTTCATCCTCCTCATCATCCGTCTCCTCCTCGTCCTCCTCCACCTCCTCCTATTCTTTCTCCTCTCCTCGTCCCTCTCCTCGTCCTCCTCCTCCTCCTCCTCATCATCATCCCCCTTGCTCTCCTCCTCCGCCTCCTCCTGCTCCTTCAACTGCTACTCCCCAACCTCATCCAACTCCTCCCCCCCCTTTCCTCGCCACCCCCCCCCCCTCCCCCCACATCCAGCCCCCTCATCCTCGCGTCCCCGCCCCTCCCCTCCCCTCCCCTCCCATGCCCTCCCCTCCCGTCCTCTTCCTCCTCCTCCTTTCCTCCTATTTCTCCTCTTCCTCCTCCTCTTGTAACTCCTCCTCCTCCTCATCCGCCTCCCCCCCCTTTCTTCGTTTCCTTATTTATAACTCCTCCCTGTCGAACCCCGAGGTCAGTTGGAAGGGCAGGCCGGGCGCTTCGCCTGAGACTGCCTCACCATTTACGATCCTGACGCTTCAAACATGGAACAACTTCACGGATGGAGGGCGTGTCGCTTCAGGATATAGCTCTCGCGTGATCGCCGCGCACTCCCGGCTTAAAAACTGCAAGAGTCTCACGGATTGAAGGCGAGGCGTTTCCAAAATGAGACTCTCGCATTAGCGCCGCGCACAACTGTCTAACAAGTTGCAAGAGCTTCACGGATTGAGGGCGGGCCGACTTCAAAATGTAACTCTCGCCTTAGCGCCGCGCGCATCCATTGTGTAAACACGGCAAAAGCGTCACGGATTGAGGACAGGTAGTTTTCAAGCTTGTGGCTCTCGCATCAGCGCTGCACACACTCGTCTTAAAAACTCGCAAGATCTTCACGGGATGAGGGTGGGTGGTGTTCAAAATGTGGCTCTGGCCTTAGCGGTGCGCACATTCGTCATAAAGATCTGTAACAGATAGATGGAGGGCTGCTGTTTTTCAAAATGTGGCTCTCGCCTCAACGCCGTTCACATTCGCTTCTATATGTCGTATATACATCTATATGGATTGTGTATCGTCCTGGACACCGTCCGAAGACCTCGCAATGCTGACTAGGCTAAAAGCCGGTCGACCAAGTCGGACGGTTGAAAGTGCGCGGAAGCCTCGCGGTGAACGTCCCAGAAATGGTAGTTTGGCACGATGTCAGACTGTCAAGTCCCAGAAACGGCATTCTGGCACGATTCAGGATCGTCAAGACGCAGCAGTAGCGGTGATTTGCGGCGTTGAACTCCCAGGAATGATGGTCTGGCACAGTCCAGGGTTTTCAAACGGGGTGCTTCCTTCAGTAATAGTGAATCCTTGTAGGGGTATGTAAAGAGGGAGCTTGGAGGGAGAGTTTACTGCAAAGTCGTTGATTGTAGAGGTTTCAACTGATCCTCCTTCTACTCCTACTCCTCCTCCTCCTCCTCCTCCTCCACCTCCTTTTGCTCCTCCTCCTCCTCCTCCTCCTCCTGCTCCTCCTCCTCCTCATCTCTCCTCATCCTCCTCCTCCTGGTCGCCCTCCTCCCCCTCGCCCCACAGCCTCCTTCTCCTCCTCCTCGTCCTCCGCCTCCTCCTCCTCCTCCTCCTGCTCCTCCCCTCCTCCTCCTCCTCCTCATCTCTCCTCCTCCTCCTCATCATCATCATCATCATCTCTCCTCCTCCTTCTCCTCCTCCTCGCCCTCCTCCTGGTCGCCGTCTCTTTCCACCTCCTCGTCCTCTCCTCCTCCTCCTCTCCTCCTCCTGATCCTCCTCCTCCTCCTCCTCCTCCTCTCCTCCTCCTCCCCTATCCTCCTCCTCCTCCTCCTCCTCCTCCTCTCCCTCCTCCTCCTCCTTCTCATCCTCCTCCTTTTCCTCCTCCTCCTCCTCCTCCTCCTCGCCCTATCCCTCCTCCTCCTCCTCCTCCTCCTCTCCTCCTCCTCCTCCTTCTCATCCTCCTCCTTTTCCTCTCCTCCTCCTTCTCCTCCTCCTCCTCCTCCTCCTCCTCGCCTCGCCCTCCTCCTCCTCCTCCTCCTCCTCCTCCTCCTCCGCCTGCTGATCCCCCAACCTCCTGATCGTCCTCCTCCTGATCGGCCCCTTCCTATCTTCATCCCACGCATCGCCGCCAGCCTCCTCTCCCTCCCAATCCGCGCCGCCGGGGCCCGGCTCCAACCTGTCCACGTGTCGGCAGCATCAGAGTCGCCGCCACCAGCGCCGCCGCCGCGGCCGTCGTCGTCGCACGGCGGCGCCGCCGCCGCCGACGCAAGGGCGCTCCACCTCCGCGCCGCACACGCGGAGCGCAGTCGCCGCCGGGCCATCGCCGCGGGGCAGCACGCGCCGCGCCCGCGCGCGCGGGCTCGACAGCGGCCTCGACAGCTGCGCGCGAAGGGCGAGCACGATGCCACGGTCGGGATTGGATCAGGATACGCTACAGGACGTCCCGAGTATTTTGCGGCCCTCGTCTCTGCTCTGCAGCTCGTGCGGCACGTTAGGAAATCCTCGCCATCTTGGAAACCTTGGGAGCCTTGGAACGCATCAGAATCATCACCCCTTGCTCCTCTGATGGACGGGCCCTGGCCCAGATCCTTCCCGATCCCCGGCAGGTCTGGCGCGTGCCTCCGCCGCCCTCCCGCCCGGGCCCGAGGCCAGAGCTCGGCGAGCCCCGCCCTGCCCGCGCCGATGCCGGCGCCGACGACGGCGGCGCCCGCCTGCCCGCGCGGCCAGGGCGGGAAGAAAGGTCCGGGCCGCCCGCCTGCGCGACGAGGCGCGGGTGCGGCGGGGGGCTCGCCGTCACCATCGGCCCCATCCTTGGCTACCTGCCAGCCCACCCCAGTCCAACCCGAAGGCCCGAATTTCGGGCTGGAAATGGAGAACAAGTGGAGGCCTTCGGGTCGGGTCGGGGTGGTCTGATGGGCGGGAAGTCCTTCTCTATTTCTGTCATCAACGAACGCTGCCCAACCATGCACCGGGCAAGTGGGCGAAGCTGGCCAGGGCCTGAGTGCACCTGCCGCGAGAGGAAAGGAGAAAGTGGAGGCGCAAGGCGGAAGGACCCACTCCTGACGAACCAACAACACACACCCATACCCATATGGGGGGTCGGAAAGGGCTATGGGTGCGTGTTGTCGGATGGGGGTCCCCGCTCGAACGGGAGCGTTCCCTAGGGTCCGACAACTCGCACCCATACCCATAGCCAGTCCTCCTCTCAACGTCCCCCTCATGGGTACTCCAAATTTCGTAATAAAAGGGAGGGGGTCTCATTTCGGGGGGGGTCTCTTCCAGGCTATCTTGGAGGGCCTTGGGGGGGTCTGGGGACGATGTTTTGGAGGGTTCTCCCACGGGGGGGGGTCTAAAACTTCTCGTCTGGGAGGGTTGAGACCCCCTCCCTTGTATTACGAAATCTGGAGTATGGATGTGTGTCGTTCGTTCGTCCACTCCGTCTCTCTGCCCTGCGCGCCCGGATCGCAGAAGGGACGCCGGACGAGACGGCCCGAAACAAGACTGGACTCCTCCTCCTCCTCCTCCTCCTCCTCCTCTCCTCCTCCTCCTCCTCCTCCTCCTCCTCCTCCTCCTCCTCCTCCTCCTCCTCCTCCTCCTCCTCCTCCTCCTCCTCCCCCTCCCCCTCCCCCTCCCGAGATGGAGACCAGGCGCACGCCCTGCAGGAGAACCCGAGGGAAGCGAGGGAGAGAACCGTCCTCACCACTCCTCCTCTTGTGAAGGGGCCCCAGGACACACAGATAAAGACACACGAATAAACTGATTCCCCATCGTTTCCAATATTTTCCTGGTGTTTTGTCTTTCCCCCTGCTTCCCATATGTTCCCCTTGTTTTCTGGGGGATCGACGATCAATTGTGCCTGTGTGTCTTTGTCCCTCCTGATCTTAGTCTTCCTCCCTACACCCTCGGCACGATGATCGCGCCCCACCGCCGCAAGCAGGCTGGCCTGGCGCAGGACCGCGGGGCGCTGCTGGCGCACCCAAAAATGTCACCCCCTGGGGGCTCCTCCTCCTCCTCCTCCTCCTCCTCCTCCTCACCATCATCATCATCATCATCAGCATCATCATCATCATCATCATCAGCATCATCATCATCATCGCCATCATCATCATAATCATCATCATCATCATCATCATCATCATCAGCAGCATCATCATCATCAGCATCATCATCATCATCATCATCATCATCATCATCATCATCATCATCATCATCATCATCATGATCATCATCATCATCCTCATCCTCCTCCCCCTCCCGCGTCTATCCACGGCGGCGGCGAAGGTGGCGTCGGCGGCGCAGGCGCCAGAGGCGACTATTATTATTATATCAGTTGCGCAACGCAGGTGCAAGCCTGGCCGCACAAGCACACACTCATCACAATTCAGGGAAAGCCATCCCAGACTTAGGGGGCAATCCACGTGCAATACGCTGTAGCACATCCTTGCCCATGCGAGGTGGGCCGCTCACAAGACTTCAACAATTTGTGAGCCTGCTCCACACATACGGCACCACAGCGAGAACCGTACAAGATGCCACGGTACACCTCGAGAGTATGAGACGGGTGCATATCTCCAGCCCTCGGGTGCGCAAGAGCACCACGCTGTGCAACAGGGGGATCAGCCTTCAAGGGAACCCCCGGGTCGGTAAACAACCGAGTAAAAGGGGCCGTCTCACCTCTGGGTCGGCACTCAAATGGCCAAAACTCATCAAGCATTCCACGCAAAGAAAAGGTGCGAACACAACGGGCACACCATGCTACCCGTGCTCGCACCTTCGGGTCATGGCCAGCCTCCCTCAATCGACCGACACGAACCCAGCGACGACACGACGCTCCTCTTCCTCCTCCCCTGAGGCAGGCCGGTCCGCGGTGCCTGACGGGGGGGCGCCGTGAAGAGCACCTCCCTTTGGATGGCCAACAGACGGCCGATCACCTGACGGGGGGAGGGAGTGAGAGAGGGCAGCCTTGGCAGCAAAAAAGTCAGCCGCCTGACTCACATAAATTCACCAGGACGCAAACCAAGATTATCAATCTGGTTCTGGGCGGGGTGGGCCTTGGTCCAATGGAGGGTCACCACACCAGGCCTACGGGAGAGCTCATCATGGACCAACGTCCACAGGTCTAACAAGGCAGACTTCTTTTTGGCACACAAGGGACGGCGGAAACCGCGGCACACAGGGAGGCAATCACAATAAACGGTCACATCTCCAGTAGTGCGGACCAGGAGCTGGTAGAAAGCATACAACTCAGCACGGACAGAGCTCTGTTTAGCCGTAGGTATTGTTCGAAATGCAATAGAATCCAAGCCACCATCAGGCCCTCGACGAACCATAGACCACACACACCTCCTTAGCCTCCAATCCTTAGTATGTTCACTCCCCAATCCGTCAATCCCCCACGTACCCCCGCGGACCCGATCCCCCGTGCACCAGCGACCCCAGGTCCAGGAGAGGTCGAGGGAAGGGGTGAGGTGGCCAACAGAAATGGGGAGGGGCATCAAACCCCTAAGCCAAAGACAGAATAGGTGTTCTTCAGACACCGCACGCTCCTTAAAACGATCGGTTTGATGGATGATCTGATCAGGGGCGCCTGAGTTGCAGGGGGGGCACTGCCAGAAGCGGTGCAGCGGCGTCTCCTTAGCAGTGCCACAGCGCCCGCAGAGGCCCCGAGTTCTGGACTCATCACCAGCGCCCACCAATCGAGATTCAGTCCAATGCGCACCTGAAGCAAGATTACGAATGATGGCAGCAGCATCCAACTCCCCATTGCGTGATTTGGTTTTCAGGACGCTCTGCATCACAATGAAATCAACTCCTTCCTGGACCCCATACCCAAGGTAATGTCCAGAAGCACGTTCCCAAAACATTTTCTGACAACAATCAAACAGAGCTCCCCAACAAGCATGGGGAACAACAGGGCCGGCAATGCGGAGCTCAAGATCAGGAGCACCGCATTTTCTGCAGAAAAACGGGGGATGCAGGCCGCCAAGACAGGTCCATGAACACCGCAATCGTGGCAACGATGGGGCCTTTGACCCGTCTCCAACGGTGGCCATCTGGCAGCAACGAGAAAATCTGCACAATCTTATCCCACGCCTGAGCGGCACCATGACTCTGGCGGCGGGAGAGTGATTCCCATATCTGGGCAAACGACATCAGTTGCTCGTGGCGAAGCCTGAATTGGGGATCTTCCAGCGGCGCCGACACCAATGAGAGGACAGCGGTAGTGCAAGCACCCGTAGCCCAGGCTCCTGAGCACAAGGCAGCCTGGGCACGCATAGCCTGCACCTGGGATGGGGACAAACCGAGGGCCTGATGGCCCCAAGAGCCAACGGCAAGCACGCCAGGCTTGTAGAATTTAGACGCCCACCCACCCCACCCCCCCACGAGCTTACAAAGGTACTGGACCTTCTTCGCCTTGCGGTAGGCCACGCGCCGACGGTTCTTAACCTTAGAAAAGTTACGGCGGATCCCAGCAGTCGTAATCGTGCCGGGGTCCTTGACAGCATCAACAGCACAGATCGGAATGGCGGCAGCCTTGAGACGACGACTAAGCTCATCTCGGAGCGCAACGTGAGAGGCAACAAACGCACTCTTCGTAGAAATCCGCCGGCCCCCTTGTGGGGCCACCAGGCTGTAGGCGCGGGTTCGCAGTTACCAGTGCCAGTTGTAGCTTGTAGTTTCCAGTGTTACAGTTCTGCTTCTTGCTGGTTACTGTAACTAATTGACTGACCGCGCGAGGGGGGGGAGGCCCAAACGGGACTTTTAGCACCCCCTGGGCGCGTTGTCTGAATTGCTGGGGGGGCTCGAAATCGACACCCCTCACGCAGATCCGCGGGGTCAGGGTCCAAAAACACATGGGATTTGCCACATTTCTGAAATTCGGTGCCACCCCTCACGCAGATCCGCGGGGTCAGGGTCCAAAAACACAGAGGATTTGCCACATTTTTCAAATTCGGTGCCACCCTTCACGCAGATCCGCGGGGTCAGGGTCAAAAAACACAAGGGATTTGCCACATTTCTGAAATCCGGTGCCACCCCTCACGCAGATCCGCGGGGCCAGGGTCAAAAAACACAGAGGATTTGCCACATTTCTGAAATTCGGTGCCACCCTTCACGCAGATCCGCGGGGTCAGGGTCTAAAAACATAAGGGATTTGCTGCATTTCTGAAATTCGGTGCCACCCCTTACGCATATCCGCGGGGCCAGGGTCCAAAAACACATGGGATTTGCTACATTTTTGCAATTCGGTGCCACCCCTCAAGCAGATCCGCGGGGTCAGGGTCAAAAACACAGGGGATTTGCCACATTTCTGAAATTCGGTGCCACCCCTCACGCAAATCCGCGGGGTCAGGGTCAAAAACACAAGGGATTTGCCACATTTCTGAAATTCGGTGCCACCCCTCACGCAGATCCGCGGGGCCAGGGTCAAAAAACACAGAGGATTTGCCACATTTCTGAAATTCGGTGCCACCCTTCACGCAGATTCGCGGGGTCAGGGTCAAAAAACACATGGGATTTGCCACATTTCTGAAATTCGGTGCCACCCTTTCACGCACATCCATCGCAAGGCGTGGTAACCCAAACTGCGAGTAGCCCCTCGGCCCTTTAATCCCAAGGTGTGGTAACCAAGCTCGTAAACCACACACGTCTTACCAATCGCCCTGTGTGGTAACCCCTCTTGTGATCAGTTGGTATTGCCGATTGCGAATCGGCCTCGCATGAAGTTCCGATACTGCTGCACGACAGCGCCAAAGCCTCATGGCTTAGCTCTTCCATGGCCCATTATCCGAGAGAAGGGGCCGGCGGCAGGGGGCGAAGCCCTTGCGGATAACGCAGTCGAGGGCCTCCAGGCCCCGCGCAAGCTGAGCAGCAGCAGGCACTAAAGTGTCACACATGAGAGAGATGTCGCTTCCATGTTGGGTATGAGACATGTCATCCACATACGACCTGAGATTGACCAGAGGGAAAGAACGATGGGCATGGGAGATGAGGTCAAATAAATACATCTTGGCCCACGGCATCGACTGGGCGCAACCAGCCAACATCCCAGTACCAACAGGGATGATGTCAGATGAGAACCCTCCCACCTCAATAGTGCGCGGGGCAGTGTGTATAAGCATGCCAAGAGACAACATATGCGGGGGGCATCCAAGTTTGATGCCAAGCCGGATCAGGAGGGCAGGGTTAAGGAAATCAAAGAACTTCGAGAGGTCCCAATGCAGGGCCGCTGAGTACCCCCCAAGATACCAAGCAACCTCATGACCAACCTCTCTCAACAAAGCAGCACGCAAAGCACTGCTTCCCCTAATGGCATCATCTCAAAATCCAATATGGGCAGCATTCCACGTGTCAATATCAAGTCCCCTCATGCGGCAATACAACCTGTACGCGGTGGAGCATTTGCATATGGGCCTTTCAGACTCCACTGACTCGGGGAGAAGGGCAACCACCCCAAGGAGGATCTGGGCAGGCCACATCAGGGCCCTCTCGCATCGGTTGAAAACGCTGGCCAAAACAAAGCTGGCTCTTTCGAGGGGGGACAGAAACACGCGGGGGGGGCCCAATGGTCAACGCCGACTGCGGTGCGAGCAGAAAAAAAACAGTGGCCCCTCGAACAACGTCTGCAGACTCGAACGGCTCAAATAACTCAATGGCCTGCATAGCCAATGGGCGAAGATCAGAAAGTGCTTCACTTATGGAGGCACGCTTAGCATCATCAGCCTTCCAGAGCCCCCCCCCCCCCAGTATTCGGCACGGTAATCCATGAGATCCCCTGGGAGCTGTTTCACACGATCTGGGGGCAATGAGATACTCGATCTCTTCAACAGAATCATAGCGACGCCAAGCATGCACCTTCTTCGCGCCGTGCGGGAGGGCCTTCAGAAGCCATGCCTTCTGGCCAGCCTTAGCTGCAGTGTGGGCGGCTGTCCAAGCCAATTTAAGATGTTCAGATGCGGAATCGCAGAGAGCGGTGAGCGTCGGCCCATCATCGCCAGGCAGGGCCGCTAACTGAGTCAGCCACCATGAAGCCACTTGTGGGGCATCGTCAGGCATGGACTGTTCAAAAGCTGGAGCAAATCCAGCAAGATGCTGGGCAAGAAATTGGGCGCGCACATGCCCACGTCGTCGTAGTGCGATCTGATACTCAATCAACTTCTGGGCGACGTGAGACCAGTGGCAGAGCATTGGGCCCTGGAAACTCTGGCCGAGATCGCCCCTTCGAGCAATCCTGGAACGTTGAATCTGCATGAAACCGCCACGTTCGTTCTCAAACTCGAGATTTGGGCATGCCCCAGCACGAGACTTCAGCATGAGCTCAGTAGCAGCAGACCACGCACGATACATGTGAGCGACCTCAGGCGACAGGTGGCCCAGAACACGTTGCAGGAACGCGCCCAGGAGGGGCCCAGGGGGTTCCACAGGGCCATCAAGCAATACCCGTTCAAGGTAATGCTCCCGAGGAAGATCAGGACCAAAACATTGAGGGATAGGCAATGGCCGACGGCGCTTCCACATGGCCCGGTCAAGGACTCTAGTCTGGATGTCAATCTGCAAGCAAGCATGGGTTTTGAAAGGGGAATCTTCGTACCCACATGCAGTAACATAGGGCCCCAAAATCAGCACTAACCAATGCCTAATCAATGAGCGGGCCTTTCCCATGTGTGCATGTGATTTCCAGAACAGAAAGAGGGAGGAGTCTGGAGCGAGTGAGCTGGAGGAAACCAGAGAGGCGCATATCCTCGACAGAGAAATTGAAATCTTCCATTAACAGCCATGGTGCGGACAGCGTTCCAATGAACGCGCTAATCTCCTTCATTTTGCCCAGGCTCTCCCCCGCAATCCCCAGACAAGATGCCGCATGCACAACTCCTACAGCAAGACAGAAAGACTTGGTTTTCAGCTCCAGGAAACCCCAACCAATCCCAGAGCCGAGATCCATAACGTTTTTGACAAGGGAAATATAGCGCCGAAAACAAGGGCCGCGGCTCACAGGAGCCGCAACACCACCATGTATTCCCCCTCCAGGGGAAGGAAAAAGCAGACTGTATGCGGGGTCGGCATCGCATCTGGGACTCGTTTTTAAACGGTTTCAACTTATCACCGATGAGGTGATGTTCGGCCAGGAAGAAACCATCACAGAAAGCCCGCGCACGGGCCGCAAACCCCGTGGCCAGAGAACTCCAGGAGGTAGGTAGCACTCGCAAAAAGAAGGGCGACGACTGACAAGTCTGACTTAGCAGCAGATGATTGGGTGACCGAGCCACGAGCAGGCATGGTAGGCTCAGATCTCAACAGAGGATCACCACGCATTGCACCATGCTCAGCGTCGCGCGGTGGATCTGCTTGGCTGTTACCCACCATGCCCACGCGCAGGTGGTGGCGATGAGCTGCCAGCCGATGCTGCTGAGGCCTGTGAAGGTGGGGCCCATCCCGACTGCTCCAACAGCCGCTTGAAAGTCTGCCCCACCTTCGTGCCAGCCACTCGAGCACGCTTGGCGCCCTTGACACGGGCCTGCTTGGACATGAGCTTCTCCATGCGCTCGGCCTGCTCGTTGGTAAGGGCGTGTTCCAAGGACCTCTTACGGATGTCAGCAAGCTCGCGAGCGATCTCTTCAGGGTCTGAGATGGTAGAGCCTGCATCTGACATGTCCTCGTCGATCCCTCGGGAAACTTCATTATGTAGGTCACGTGTGGCCTTCCAATATTCAAAGGACTGCCCCTGGGAAGTACACCATGCAAGTAGAACAGGATCAGCGGCCTGGGCAAGATCGGGCGGGGCCAAGCCAGCAGAGCCAGCCGCAGCTCCTCCTGGTCGCCAATTGCCTCCTGGTGCGGCAGCCGCGAAAAGAGGTGCACCTCCCCCTCCAGCAGCACCAGCAGCGCCCACGGAAGGGGTTGCTCCACCTGGCAAACCATGAGGAGAGGCAGCCTGTTCACGCTCACGCTTGATCTCGGCCACCTTGTTGTTCTTCCAGGTCTCTGGCACGAAACCCTGAAGCGCAGCATCCGCACCCTGCCGCGCAGTCTTGGCATTGTTGAGCTCATTAGCGGCCTCAGCCAGGGCCATCTCCGCCTCCTGGAGTTGGTTGCGCAACTTGTTGCACTTCTCCTCGCGGAAACTGATGTCCTGGTGCGCGATCCTCTCAGCGCGTGCCGCAGCCTCGAGCTCCCTCGCCAGTCGGGTACGCTCCCCACGCGCACCAGCATCAAGTTGTTGTTGACTCCATTCTGCAGGGAGGGATGGAGCAGGTGCAGCCGTTGCCTCAAGATGGACCCGTAGCTCAGGACGGGCACGCAGTAGAAGGTTCGCGGATAGTTCCTCGTCGTCGATTGGTGTGTCTGGCTCATCATAGTCCATCGCGCATTTGTCAATATTGGGATCCACTCCGTAGTAGTCACCACCACACTAGGAGCAGCATGGATGTCCGCGATGCTTGTACTCCCAGTGGTAGCATGTGCTGCAAACACTGTAACCACTGGAGGGGCGGGAGACATCTCGCCCACGGCCTCCACGGCCGCCGCGCGTTCCCCAGCCGCTGACATGCTGCCAGGAAAGCCTCCATGGAGAGTACGTGAAGCCATGATCAGCACCAGCATCAGCATCTTTGTTACGCCACGGTGCGCCACGGGCCATGGCTCAGATGCTGAGGACGGGATGTGCAGTGAATGGGAAAAGAGATGCCAGGTCTCAGGAGACCTTGCCAGCCGCGGTGACAGCGGTGTCCGTTCAGGCACGGAGGCGCGGAGCCCCCAAAATGCAAACATCTTGAGCCAAAATGGCTACGGGGCGCCAGAGGCGACGACGACGACGACGACGACGACGACAACGACGACTTCGGCGGGGCTAATTGGCTTTGGCATGTTTCCGGACGGCGCCGGCGGGCGCAGGCGCGGGCGGCGGCGGCGATGGCGACGACAGCGGCGCCTCCAGGAGGGAGGAGGCCACTTTCGCCTCCCTCTACCAACAGGCGAGAGTATACTCCTTGTCCTTGCGGGTTTTCTATGATTATTTGCTTTGGTTGCCTGCATCTCACTTGCTGCGCTCACCCAGGTCAAATTTGTTGGCCACAGCGCCGAAGTCGGTTTTGACTGTGATTCTTGACTGACGCTACGGCTCCGTCACCAGAGTCGATTCACTGTATAAAGAAGAGGAACATGGCCGCGGTAGAGAGGCGCGCAGGCTGCCAGTGTCAGCGCCGCGAGCACGACAACGACGACGTCGACGTTGTCGTCGTAAAACCAGGACATAAAAAAGAAACAAACTGAATAACACAGAAACTTTCAAAGGTCCGCACAGATTTCTTGGACCAGCATTGGACGTCCTTCGCTGGAGCGCGGGGCGCGCCAGGGGCGGCGCTGGAGGCCCCGAAGGGGGGGTCCAGCGCAGATCAGGGGGACCCGCGCGCACCTTCCAAAGTGTGTGCGTATGCTGTTGTTCTTCCTCGTGAGGAGGAGGCAATGAGGAGGATGGAGGCGAGATTTGTACTTAGACCTCGGCAAGACCACGTGCATGAAAGGGCGGAGGGGGGGCGTGGCAAGGCCTCAAAGGAGATCTGGACTTCACGCAAGTCCGTTCCTCGCGAGGAGGAGGCCATGAGGAGGATGGAGGCAAGAGTTGTTCCTAGACTTCGGCAAGATACCTTGCATGGAAGGGCGGAGGGAAAGGCGTGGCGAGGCCCGAAAGGAGATCTGGATTTCACGCAAGTCGGTTCCTCGTCAGGAGGAGGCACTGAGCAGGATGGAGGCAAGACTTGTTCTCAGACTCCGGAAAGATCCCTTGCATGGAAGGGCGGAGGGGAAGGCGTGGCGAGGCCCGAAGTGAAATCTGGACTTCACGCAAGTCGGTTCCTCGTGAGGAGGAGGGAACGAGAAGGATGGAGGCAAGATTTGATCTTAGAATTCGGCAAGATCACTTGCATAGAAGGGCGGAGGAGAAAGCGTGGCGAGGCCAGAAATACAATCTGGACTTACCGCGCACGCCGTTTCGACCCTTCGCTGTTTGAACATGAGGAAGAAAGGAGGAGGGGAATGCCATGAAAGTGCAGTCAGCATCCTACCAAAAGGAACGCGAGGTAAGGAACCCTTCTCGGCCCAAAATCCGCCTGGGTACACGAAGAGCGCGTCAGAAGCAATCGTGGAAGGGCCGAAGGAACAACGAAAGCTCGTCCGAATCCGAACTGCTCCTTACTTCAGCGTCTTGGCTACAAACTTTGAAGGGGCCCTGGGACACACACACACACACAAGTAAATACACACAAATCCCAGGATCCCCCATATTGAACTGTTTCTGGGTTTTCGTCTTCCCCCCCACTTCCCACAGTTTCCCATATTTTCCTGGGAGTCGACGATTAATTGTGTCTGCGTTTTTCCCTCATGAGAGGGGTGGGAGAGCCGAGAACGAGGACGAGCGAGGGCAGTGCCCCGCGTCCTTTTCCTCTCCTCCTCCTCCTCCTCCTCCTCCTCCTCCTCCTCCTCCCCCTCTTCCCTCCTACCCCTCCTCTCCTCCTCCTCCTCCTCCTCCTCCTCCTCCTCCTCCTCCTCCTCCTCCTCCTCCTCCTCCTCCTCCTCCTCCTCCTCCTCCTCCCCCTCCTCCCCCTCCTCACCCCTCCTCCTCCCCCTCTTCCCTCCTCTCCCTCTGCCCGCCGCACGTCTCTGTTTCGGCTCACCCCTCACACGCTTCGTGGCCCCGAAGGAAGCTCCACCGAAGGCCCCAGTGCAGGGTTCGCATGGCGTACCCACACCCGATTCATCACACCCCTCAAACGCTTCGTGGCCCCACAGGGAGCCCCACCGAAGGCCCCAGTGGCAGGGTCCGCATGGCGTACCCGCTCCCGATTTGGCACGCCCCTTACACGCTCCGTGGCCCAACAGGCAGCTACACAGAAGGCCACAGCGGCAGGGTCCGCACGGCGTACACGCCCCCGATTCGGCGATATAGGACACCGGGGCCCCAGGCTACCCTAGGCCCTACTACCTACCCTAGGCTTGCCTAGGGTAGACCCTACTGAAGGCCCTAGACTTCCCAAGGGTAGGGCCTACTGTAAACCCTAGGGTAGGGCTAGGGTAGGCCTAGGGGTAGGCCCTAGGGGTAGGCCTAGGGTAGGCCCGGGGGGAGTCCCGAGGGGTAGACCTAGGGTAGACCTAGGGGTAAGCCCTAGGGGTAGGCCTAGGGGTAAGCCCTAGGGGTAGGCCTAGGGGTGAGCCCTAGGGGTGGGCCTAGGGTCGCCCTTCCCTGGGCGTTCTATAAGGATTCGGCACACCCCTCACACGTTTCGTGGCCCCGCAGAGGGCTCCACCGAAGGCCCCAGCGGCAGGGTCCGCATGGCGTACCTGCACTCGATTCGGCACACCCCTCAAACGCTTCGTGGCTTCATATCGTGAAGAGCCCCAGCGGCATGGTCCGCATGGCGTACCCGCACCCGATTCGGCATACCTCTCACACGCTTCGTGGCCTCATAGGGAACACGACCGAAGGCCCCAGTGGCAGGGTCCGCATGGCGTACCCACACCCGATTCGGCCCCCCCTACACGTGCCATGGCACCATGGGGAGCTCCATCCAAGGTCGAGTGGCAGGGTCCGCGTGGCGTACCCGACCCGCCCCATGGCAGTACAACTCTCACACCTCCCCCCCTGCTTCTTCTAACTTGCCTCGCCGCACCCGCAGCTTCATATGGTCAGGCCCTTCGCCAGGATATATATATATATATATATATAAATATATATATATATTATTTCATTCCCCCCTCCCTCCTCCTCCCTCCTCCTCCTCCTCCTCCTCCTCCTCCTCCTCTCCTCCTCCGCCTCCACCTCCTCCTCCTCCTCCTCCTCCTCCTCCTCCTCCTCCTCCTCCTCCTCCTCCTCCTCCTCCTCCTCCTCATGGCATCGTGCTATCATTGGCTCCCCCGCCGTTGGGCGCCTCCTCCGCGACGCCCTCGCCGCCGCCACCGCCAGCGCTCCAGCAGAGCCGCCGCTGGCGAAGAAGACGTCGTCGCCGCCCTCCTCATCGCCGCCGCCGTCGTCGCTGCCGGCGGCGGCGAAGACGACGTCGGCGGCGGCGGCCTCGGCGGCGGCCTCGGCGTCGGCGCCCGCGTCGCAGGAGTCCGCCGTCGGGCGCAGCGGGGACCGACTATTTTTGTGCGGCCTCGGCGCGCGCGGGCCGACGAGTCTTTCGGCCCTGCCCGCGCGCGCCTCTTGCGCGCGGTCGGGGCGGGGTAGGCCGCAAAGGCGGGTTCGCGAGGGCGCCGAGAGGGGAGGGAGGAATATGATGAGAGGAGGGTCCGTCCATGATAAAGACGAAGCACGGGACAAGGGTAAGATCGGGTAAGGATAAATCGAAATCTCTGAGATCCAGCTGATCTAGAGGATGTCTCGGGCGCCGCCACCTTCTCAGAGCGTTCCAGAACGCTCTGAGAGCGTTGTTCTGGCCCCGTCCGAGTGACGGAGGGGTGGAGGAGGAGGAGGAGGAGGAGGAGGAGGAGGAGGAGGAGGAGGAGGAGGGGAGGGGTGGGTGGTGGAGCGGGGATGACGGAGTGGTAGTGGAAGGGCCCCCGAGGGCCGCAGCATGTCCCTGGTCACAGCGAGAGCCGGCGGCGAGCCTGGGGGAGGAGGAGGGGGGGAGGACAAGCTAGGTGCGCTCGCGTCATATCTGACGTCCTACCCCTCCCTCCCATCCCTTACCATGGCGCTGATTTTCTCTATCCGCGGACGCGTGTCGTAGCGGACCTGTGGCTCCGCGCGCGCGTGCGTAGTGGGTGGTGGTGCACGTGCGTGCGTGCGTGCGTGTGTGCGTGGTTGTCGTGGTGGTGGTGGTGGTGGTGGTGGTGGTGGTGTGGTGGTGGGTGGTGGTGGGTGGTGGGTGGTGGTGTGGTGGGTGGTGTGTGGTGGTGTGGTGGTGGTGGTGGTGGTGTGTGTGGTGGTGGTGGTGGTGGTGGGTGGGTGGTGGTGGTGGGTGGTGGGTGGGTGGTGGTGGGTGGTGTGGGTGGTGGTGGTGGTGGTGGTGGTGGTGGTGGTGGTGGTGGGTGGTGGGTGGTGGGGTGGTGTGGTGGTGGTGGTGGTGGTGGTGGTGGTGGTGGTGGTGGTGGTGCGGTGCGGCGCGGTGGTGGCGGGCGGATGGGCGCGCGAGAAAAAGGCCCGCGCTGGGGCGAGAACGCCATCCTGAACGACGGAGGCCAAACACCGATCCGAAAATGAGGCCCACGCTGCAGCGGGAGCACGATTCGGAACGATTCGGGAGCAGAAATGAGGCCGGCGCCTCAACGAGAGCAGCATTTTGGGGGCGCCGGCGCCTCAGCGAGAGTCGTCAGCGAGAGTCGTTTCCCGGGATTTCCCGGGCATCCTGTGTGTAAAAAACAATACGCGGAGGGTGCGCGGCCATCACCCGGACGCCATCAGGGGAAGAGGGAGAGTATTTCCATATTGAGTAATTGTGGAGGAGAAGGAGGAGGAGGAGGAGGAGGAGGAGAAGGAGGAGGAGGAGGAGGAGGAGGAGCCGAGAAGGGGCGGGCCTTCTCAGAAGGCTCGGAAGTCCTCCGGCTCTCTGAGCAGTTTTCTGAGCCCCCCCCCCCCGAAGACACCGAACTCCTCTCAGAGGGCCGAGGCCCTCTGAGACGCCCCGCCGCTTTCTGAGAGGGCCTCCTCCTTCTCGCTCCCCCCCCTCGCTCGCCGCCGAGAGAGGCGGTGGGGGGTCAGCACGCCGCCGCTCCAGGCACGCCCGCTGGCGCGCCTGCCCCCGGCTGCTCCTCCGGCCGGGCCTCTCCCGCCGCCGGGGGCGCCGCCTCCGGCCCCGCCGGCGCCTCCACCTGCGCGCCCGCCGCCTGCGGTTTCGCCCCCCCCGCCGGGCCTCCTCTGCGCAGAGAGCGCCCCCTGCAGTGGAGACCCATGCCCAGAAGCGCCCTGCGTGCCTCCAGGGTGCCCTGGGCTTCTTGGGTTCCGCTGGCTTGGCTACTGAAAGCGCGACGCTCCCACACCAAAAATCCACGGACGTCCTGGGGTCTCAGGGTTGGGTTTCTTGTGAAGGTCTCTTGTGGACTGGCCTCCACTGTGCACACCGCCACCCGTGGGGTGCTGCTAGAAGTGCCCCTGGCCCAGGGTGCCCCCAGGATTTCCGAGGAGGCCCCCACAGCCTCCAGAGCACCCCTCACGAGGCCCAGAGGGCCCCAGGTGCTTCATTCTGGGGCGAGCAGTTGGGGACACCCTGGGCCAGGGGCACCCTTTAGTAACCCCTCGAGCCCGAGCCTGGCTCCGTGTTCGTTAACCGTGGGCAAGTATGACATACACGGGGGGGTACAGAACCTTTTGGGCGCGCGGTGGCAGGTGAGGGGCCGTTTGGAGCCCTTTTACGGCCACTTTCCTGCAGTTCTGAGACCCCGCGTTCAATGCCCACCCATTGCCGTCCGCCCGACGGCTGCAGGGCCCTTCTGGGCACCGGCATGGCCAGCACGACGCCTCCATGACGACGTCAGGAGGGAAAGTTTCCCAGACATCCGACGTCGTACATTTTGCCGCGAAGCGGCGCCTAAAAGGTCTGGACCTCTTCGCAGGACCAGCTGCCCATCGCATCGCATCGCTAGCAGCACGAAAGCTGTCTGAAATATCACAGGACGCCTTCACACTTCGTGGTAAGCATCTGGGCGCCTGCTGTTTAAGGCTGTCTTACACATCTTGACCAGAAAGGGTCCTCCCTTTCCCCTCGGGAAACGTCACGATTCGCGTCAGCGCCCCGGGAAAGGGCAGAGGTAGCAAATTCCCAGACGGTGCTGGCACGAATCGCGACATGACTGGCCCTCTTCCCCTCCGGCCCACCCAGCAACGGCCGCCACTGCGAAAAGATAAGCATACAAAAACCAACAGGAACGGGCTCGAGTATGTCAGGGCAGCTATGCTACAGTCATGCTATCGGGCCACCCCCTAAGGGAGAAACGGAACATGAGGAAGAATCGGAGTCGAACCGCTTCGCGAAGCGCGAACCACGTCGCGCCCTCGCGGGCGCCCTTAACTTATCGCCCCCCATCACGCGACGCCCAACCGCCGACTCTGGTGAGATTGATGATGCTGATGATGGTGAATATGGATGATTGTGATGATGGTGATGATGCTGATGATGGTGCGTGGTTGTAACTATGGATGATGCTGATTATGGTAGTCGGGTCATGGTGATGGTGATGGTAATGGGGATGGCGATGGTCATGATGATACTGTTGCTGATGAGCATGATGACGATGACGATTATGATGACGATGACGATGACGATACCGATGACGATGATGAGAATGATGATGATGACGACGATGACGATGACAGTGACGATGACAGTGACGAGGACGAGGACGATGACGGCGACGAGAATGAGGACGGCGACGATGACGAGGACGGCGACGATGACGATGACGATGATGATGACGATGACGATGACGATGACGATGACGATGACGATGACGATGATGATGATGATGATGACGGTGGTGATGATGATGGTGATGATGATGGTGATGATGATGTTGATGATGGTGGTGATGCCTGATGATGATGGAGATGCATTGTGATGCGCATGACCCCCACCTCTGCACCGCCGCCTTTGGTGCCCTGGACGGGCCTCCTCCGCCGCCGCGCCCTCGCCCCCACGGGGCGGGCCGCGCGCCGGCGGCGGGCCGCCCCCGGGCGCCCGGGCCGCGCGCCTCTCCAGCAGGAACGCCTCCCTGCGGAGCGCCTGGCAGGGGCAGCAACGAGGGCCCAGCGAGGGTGCGAGGAACGAGTAGAGGCCTCCCAGATGGGGTCGGAGGACCCCTCCACTGTTTTCGCCTTTTTCGGGCCCCTGGGAGGCCCTCGTCGCCACCGCCGGATTCGCCTCGAAATCCTGTTCAGAACGCACCCTGGGAGAGGTCTGGAGAGTAGCGGTATTGTTATCTTCCCTGAGTTTCCCATACAGAGACGAGTAGAGGCCTCCCAGATGGGGTCCGAGCAGATGGGGTCGGAGGAACGCGCCGCATCGCCGATGAATCGACGATGCGGCTCGATATGGAACCCGATTTTCTTCATGCCGACGGCGCCGATACATCGTCGACGTCGCCAGTGCATCGCCAATGCATCGACGATGCATCGCCAATGCATCGACGATGGAGGGGGAGAAGATGGGGGGAGAAGAAGGGAGCGGGCACGAAGACTGAACACGGAGATGCGCACGGGCCGCTCAAAGTCCTGGCACAAGCCAGAGGTAAAAACCAACCGGCCACACAGAGAGGGGAAAGGAGGGAGAGGAGGGAGAGGAGGCGGGGAGAGAAGGGGACGGGACCTGCTCGTGTGACGCTCAGGAGTGGAGCTCGATGCAACGCTGCAGCCACGAACCATGCGAGTCAAGAGGCAGAAGGTCGCAGGGCGCACGGGAGACACCACGCGAGCCGACCTGCAGTAGGCAAGCCCGTGAAGTGAAGCGTGGCCCGAAGAAGACCCGGTGCGGCCCGCGCGCCAGCTGGAAGCGAACAGGGAAGGGCTCGCTCGCTCAACGCTGGTATGGGAATGATCCGCACTGGTCAACCACATGCCACTCTTATGCGACTAAATAGGCGCACGTGTCGAACAGGAGGGAAGCTCAAAGCCCCAAGATGGGGTTCGAACTAAGACGCACTACGAAGCTCCAAGAACCACCACGCGAATCTACACGCGTGAGCCAAAGCGCAAGGTCGCCATGTCGCCTCGCGCACCGAAAATGAGGCCAGCGCCTCAGCGAGAGCAGCATTTTAGAAAAAATGCAGGCGAAAACCCAACTCCGGGGAAACCTGTGTAAAAAAACAGTACGCAGGGGGGGGGGGGGGGCGAATATTCCCAAGACGTCATTAGGGGAAGAGGGAGAGTAGTATTCATATTGAGTAATTGTGGAGGGGGGAGGAGAGGGGGAGGACAGTCTCCAGAGAAGGGGGGGAGGCAAGACCCGTTTTGGGATCGCCGCTCGTCTCGGCAGCCGGGGGCGGTTTGCGGGCCATCGGGGCCCTCCCGAGAGTGGGTGCGCAACGAAGAACTGCCCTCGGGGAAGGCGTCGGGAGTCCTGCAGTGGGGGCTCGGCCACAAGAAACCTCCGCAAGAAACCCAACCCTGAAATACGCGATTTGTTCAGTGAAAATCCACATGTGTCGATCGAAAATCGTCAAGATCTGATTGGGAGCCCATCAAAATCCAAGAAACCCAGGGCACCCTGGCAAAATCCAACTGGTTTCTTGGCACGCGCCCCCACTGTAGGGCAGCGGATGGAACGAACGCATCGGAGGCCGTGATTTTCTGGATGGGCTCGGAGGATCACGCCGCGTCTGGTCACTTTGAGGGAGCTGCTCAGCTGTATGAGAAAGCGGGAGCAAAGCAGGAGCGAGCGCATCCGCGGCCATGTGCTGCTCCGTTGCTGGCATCATGGCATGAACAGTCGATACGGTCCAGGGGTCCCAACTGGGGCCGAAGATGATGCCGGGCCCCAGACGATGAAATGTCCACACCGTGTGGTGAGGCAGTGGGGACTCGGGGCGACCGTATGATTTGGGAAATCGGGTCGTTCTCCGAGGATGTCGGGTCCCAAAGTCGTGCTTGACGGAGCGTGCGGTGAGAGCAGATAGGACCAGAGGGCCCCCACCTCCTCTCGTCCAGACCGGAAACATCACGACGCGACGCACACTTTTTGGCAGTTGACGCCTAAGGATGAAAAACTGGTCCCTAGGAAGGGTCAGATCCTCGGGAGGAGGCAGAGGAGGATGGAGAGGAGGAGGAAGAGAAGGAGAAAAAGGAAAAGGAGGAGAAGGAGGAAAGGAAGGGGGAGGAGGAGAGGAGGGAGGAGACGGGGACAGGACGCAATCAAATGCGCATGTAGGGCACTCGGACGCAACTCCTATCGAGGATGAACGCCCCCCATCGCAGTTCCCTGAGAATTTGGCCCCAACGTGTTTGTCCAGCCAGCACTCCCGCAAAATCTGGGATTGGGGTCGCCATGTTCGGATCAAAGATGTGTTTGCTAAGGCAATAAGAAGCTATCAGTGGATGCCAAGGTGGGTAGTATGTTTTATCTGGCCTAACCTGGTTTGAAGCGTGGCACAAGTGCCCTAAGCGGCTGAGGGGTTAACGATCCAGACTAAGTGGGCTTCTCTCACTTCGCGGAATCATCTAACCCCTCTGCGCCATTTCGGGCATTTGTGCCCCACTTAGTAGCCAGGTTAGGCCAGGCATAACCCACCGTGCCATCCACTGATGGATCCCCCATCCCCTTACCAACACCAACGTCGATCAAACTGGACGTGCGTCTGACGCTCGCCTTTGCTTCTGGACCTCGAAAATGTTGTTTTCTTAGCATGCATCTGCGTGCACGCCAGCGTCTGGTAGCCGACGAGAAAGCGCCGATGTGCGTCGATAAGCGCCGATGCTGCCTCGATTCAGCGTCGATCCGCATCGATTCGCGCCAATCCGCAAGAGCCAGCAATATGGCATGGGAGGCTCCCACGAGTTGCCACCGAGCCCGCGTTGTTGCCAGTGCCTCCAAGGGCACTCGCAGGGCCCTGTGGTCGTCCAAGAACAGCCCGGGATGAGAAGCCGGTCCCCAGGCAGAGGTCCAGACTTCTGGGGAACCACGCTGTGAGAGCATCCTGTCTGAGAGCCTGGCAGGAACAAGAGTCGGCACTGATGGAGGCCTCCCAAAATGGGCCAGAGCAGATAACTAGAGTTGATCGTGTCGGACGACGGTACAGCGTCGCCGATGCCGCATCGAGACGGAGAAGATCGGATCGGGGTTCGCGCCGCATCGAAAATGCACTGGCGATGCGGCGCATCCGCAGAACGCCGACGCAAAATCCCACCAGCCCTCTGGCCGTAGGTGGTCTGGGGCACTTCCTCTTTCAACCCCCTTATTCCCCTCCGGGGAGGAGTTTATCACTGTTCCCTATTAATGAACACCCCTTCCCCCAGGCGACTGGTAGCCTGGGCCAGGAACCATGAGGGTACCCCCCACCATCCCATGTAAAAAACCGTACAACACACACACACACACACACACACACACACACACACACACACACACACACACACACACACACACACACACACACACACACACACACACACACACACACACACACACACACACTTTCTGCCTCCAAATTCGGAGCATGCGCAGCCAACCCGACGCGGCCTCCCCCCACCGTCCCTGTCAATAAAACAATACAGAGTACAGTTGGCGGCGGCGGCGGCCGCGGCGGCTGCGGCGGCGGCGGCGGCGGCGGCGGCTGCGGCGGCGGGGGCGGCTGCGGGGGCGGCGGGGGCGGCGGCGGCTGCAGCGGTGACGACGGCGGCGGTGGCGGTCGCGGCAGCGGCTGCGGCGGCAGCGGCTGCGGCGGCTGCGATTTGGCAGCGGGAGCGGAGGCGGCGGCGGCGGAGGCGGCGGCGGCATCCTGGGGCGGGTTTCCCCGCGAGCGCTCACTCCTAGGGGGGGCGGCTGGTCCATTAGCTTGCCACGGCGGTGCCTTCGGGGCTCCCGCATCAGGAGGGCAAGGGCGCTGAAGACCGCTAGAACGAGCGCCACTGGAGCGGGCGCGCGGGCGATTTGGCGTGCGACTGGGAACCCGACCACGACGTATCACGCGATCACTGCCTTCCCGTTTTCGTCCTCGTCATCGTCGCGATAATTCTTCCTCCTCCAGACTGGGCGGCTTGGCGATCGCTTCTGGCGGCTCATGGATCGATCTGAAGCAACAGAAGTGCATCGACATTCTTCATCATGACCGAGCTCATCTTGGACACGCTCAAATAGATCACCAGCGTCTCGCGGGCTTCCCCGCAGAGGATCATCATCGGATAATTCCATGTCTGTCGGATTTCCAATCGCCCGAGGATAGAACATCGCATGTATTTCTTCACCTGTTGCAGGAATGGTAGATTCTGAGTCCGCGGGTGTCCCCGCCATACCAAAATCTCCTTCGGCTGGCGCGTGGAAGTTCTCGACAAACTCAATATCTGCAGATTGCCCCGCGATGGGTATACCCAGCCATTCTGCCAAATCGATGTCATTGTAGCCAGTGAACACCTCCTCGAGCAGCTCGTCGGCGTAATTCTCGAGGGTCATACTCGCACTTAGATATCTGGCAGCCATGAAATTAACAATTGTGGCTGAACTATCGGCAGGGTCGGCTAAAAATGATTCCCAATCAACATACTGCATGTCGGAGTCTGTTTGGGCCAGATGTATTGACGGACCCTTGCCTCTTCCATCACCTCGGGGGCACTCGCGTCGGAAATGCTGCGTGCTGTGGCAGATGTCGCACTCCATAGTTTTACCGTTGGCATCATTTGGGTTTCCCCGCCGCCCCTTACCTCTGCCTGCTGTATGCCCGCGGTTTCTGCCAGCACCTAAAAACATTTCGTCGTGCCGCGGTCCAGTAAGAGACGCTAAGACTGCTAGTGTGCCTCTGCCATGTAATCGCCGACGATTACCTTTGCCTTTACTTCGGCCCCTGCCTTTTCCTTTAAGTGATCGTCGTACAATACGCCTTACTTTTCGAACTGGTTTCTTCGTGAATCTCCACCAGCGACGCTTGTGTTTTTGATCGCCTAAAAATATCAAGTGAGCTCGTTGCTCTTAACTAAGGTATGTAGGCATATCAGAATAATCCAGGGCGGTAGCTTCGTCATCTGAAGACGTATCCGCATCGGTACCGGAGTCGAAGTCGGACTCGGTGGGTTGCCCCA